TTTATAAATCAATGTATTTAATTAAGCAATTCGAGTTCATGAATATATCCCTCATTTAATTTCACTTTGTTCGTATTAATTTAGTCGGTGAGTATTAATTGACATATTTAAAACAAAAATCGTATTATAAAGTTATAGATCTTTATCATTACATTACTTTATTCATATTCATTTATTGTAGCTAGTAAGTATAAATTTCAATTAAAAGGCCGTGTTTAAGTTCATAAATATTTACCTCTGATTTAATTATCCACATTGATTTACCGTAGCTAGTAAGTAAAGATCATTTATTAATAGATGGATTACAATAAGTACTTTTTAAGTTTACAACTATTTATTATTTGCGTTAATTTAGCGAGTGAGTATAAAGATAATTTATTATGAATTTAAAATAATCCATGTATTTGAGTTTAGAAATATTTATCAGTGAACGACACCTCTCATTTAAAATTATTTTATTCGCGTTAATTTAGTCTGTGAGTATAGTTATAATTATTGTGTTGATCGATACATATTAAATAGATTCGTAAACATTTACCATTATGCATAATTTTCGTAGTGAGTGAGTATAAAGATCATTGGTTACTGAATTATTCCATGTATTTAAAGTAGAAATGCATCTTTAATTTTTAAAATAAGATATTCACTAAACAATATTATTCCTATTTTAATTATTTTAATTTATGTTAATTTAGTCGGTAAATATAATTATTTTGATTGAAATTTTATACCAAAAAATGCTAATATAATTTACTTTTATAGATCTTCAGAATATGGAAAGTGTGCGTACTGTAAAGAATATAATACGCATGAAGCTTGGTGTCAAACATGCGATCCTGATTTAACAAGTCAGGAATGGGCAAGTGAAAATATAGATATTGACAACTACCTCAAGGAAATCCAGCTTACCACCAACATGTATGAAAATATTGTTGAGTGGATTTCGTTTGATAGGCTGGCTGATATTAAAATCATCGGCAAAGGAGGATTTGCATCAGTATTTTCTGCAATCTGGTTGGATGGTATAAGAAAGATCGATCGGAATAAAAGAACGCGTGAACAATCTAGCATCGTGGCACTCAAGACCTTGTCCAGTTCCGGAGAAAATCCTCTTGATTTTTTAAAAGAAGTAAGTTAAATCATAACTTACTATGCAATTTATTAAAAATATGTTGAACTAATTCATTTATATAAATTTACAAAGTTTTACACTCATTTGGAGTGTAGAATTGGGGGTACTGGCCTTGAAATATATGGGCTGACAAAAAATAAAAATACAAATGAGTATTTTATAGTATTTCAATATGCCAATAAGGGCAGTCTCCATAAGATTTTAGGAGAAAAATTTTGGGATCTTAGTTGGGAAACTAAATTAGGACTACTGCAAGATATTGCTGCTGATTTACAGCAAATTCATAGGGCAAATTATGTACACGCCGATCTTCACACTGGCAATATTTTGCAAGTTCAGCGCGACGATAAAATGCGATCCTGCATCTCAGACTTAGGACATTCCAAAAAGCAGGGTGAAAATGCTTTAAAGGATGGTATTTATGGAGTGCTGCCCTATATCGCTCCAGAAGTCTTAACAGGCCAGAAGTTCACAACAGCTGCCGATATTTATAGCTTTGGGATCATAATGACAGAAATGTCAACTGGGGTAAGACCTTTTGACGGCTATCGATTTGATATTAATCTTGCCATAGGGATTTGCAATGGATTGCGGCCGGGATTTGCTTCTGGAACTTCACAATGCTATATTGAGCTGTCAAAGCAATGCATGAACCCAGATCCGCGAAAAAGGCCTACGATCGATGACATTTTCCTGAGAATTAGAGAATGGAATAGAAACACGGGCAGAATTAAACAGCAATTCTTAGACGCAAACAAAATAGATAAAAAATCAAAACATCCTGATTCCATGTATACTAGTAAATATCTTAACACAAAAAAAATTTCAAGTGCAATTGCAACAAAAGGCAATTATTTGTTTATTTATTTACTTATTTATTATTATATATTCAAAATTAACCATTATGCTATATTATTTGTTTATTTAGATCTTTCTCTAGTCGATTTTGATACCAATTTGTTATTTGTAATTTAAATGCATCTTGGCTTTAAACACCATATAGCCTCCATATTTCAAAACGAATAAACATTCGGTCTTGGTATCCAAGTAAGAATATTCAGAGCCTCCAAAACCTTCCTTTAAACGGATATATGGTATTAAATATCACAAGTGTATTTTTATATTTCAGAATAGATTACTTTACAGAAACTAGTATTTTTTCTGATGAGCTTAAAGATATTAATTTTTTTTCGGTTTTACTAAATCGTACCGGTGATGTTCAACACCACAGTTGCTATATCTCAAAACCGTACTAGCTAACACACGTCAGTGTATTAAGCAAAAATGTTCAACGCCCCAAAAAAACCTCACCCTGACTAAAATTTAGACCTATATCTTTACCATAGTTCAGGTTACCTAATCCTAAACTTTACTAGCAAAATTATTAAAAATATAACACCATTGGTACGATTCAGTATAACTGTATTTTTTATAATTAAAAGATTATTTTAAGATTTATTATATAAAAATCATAATAGAATTGTTTAATAATTATAAAATTGGGAAATTCTATTTTCACCTGGGTTAAAGTCACCTGATAAACTATAATGTCATTTATGTAACTAAAATTATTTAGTTTTAGTAATATTTTGGGTGACTTTAACCCGGCGAAAATAGAATTTCCCTATAAATTATTATAAATATTATAAGATTATTATAAGATTATTGTTTAAGGTTATTACAAGATATTTTTAAGGATTTTTTTAAGATTGGTTATAAGATTATTTTAAGATTATTATAAGATATAATTTTAATAGTCTTTAAGATCATAATCAAAAAAAATTGGCTAGTTCCTGTAAAGTATTTGATATTTTAATAAATTGAAAATAATTTCTTTAAACTGTTATTTGGTCTAAAATATTAAATAACTTTTTCTTAAGAAAAAGGTGTTCGTATACAAATTAATGTAGCATTAAGATCATACGTCGTATTGCATTAAGTTTGAGGTCACAAAGGTCGGAATTATACATATTATCTACTATATACAATGGTTTAAAATAGGATATATTTTATACAAATCGAACAATGTGCAGTATAATTTAAATGTACGAAACTACTTTACAAAATAGAAATATCTTCTTACACATTGATAGTTTTAAGTGAAACTACCTTCCTGGAAGTATAGATCGATTTCGCCAACAACTATTTCGCCGACAGCCATTTGCCGATAAAATTGGCCGATATAAATCAGGGTTAGTCTGATTTATAATTATTGTTGGCTAACAGCACTAGGGCAGTGTTGTCACTCGGACAACTCGGACAGCACTCGGACAGAGTTTGTCAGAGTTTGACACTGAATAACTTTGAATAATATATTGTGACCCACCTTCAGTTATTAATTAAAGTTGTTCAGAATTATTTTTTGCATATATGTATGCATTTTTAGAGTGGATTTATAAGTCTGATAAAAAGTCGGACAGTCCTCCGGACACTCCAAAAGGCTCGGACATCAAAAATGGACAACACTGCACTAGGGTGTAGGATAGATTTCCGATCACATGATTCTTAGCCAAACAACATCGGTTTTTACTATAAAACCTGCTAACCTAACTTAAACAAAGATTTTGTTAATCATCATGTGATCGGAAAATCAATCCTGCATGTTGGATTCTCCAAAATCTCTCAAATACCGCTACGTTCATGTATGAATACGTAAACCTAGATAGCTTAATGTGCAGTAATTGTATAGTGACTATATAATATACGACCGTTTGCAATTTAAGTTACCCTCCTCCATCTCCCGGTTCTACCACATGCAAAATCTGGTCAGTATGACTACCGGGAGTTTCCGGCTTACTATTACTGTCGAGATTTTTCAGTTCACGATATATTTATTTATTTTGCTTAATTTCTCCCGTAAATACGAAAAAAAATAACGTTAAACGAAGTTTAATTTCAAACGTTCTATATAGTACATACTCTTTACTATTTAATTTCAAACGTTCTATATAGTACATACTCTTTACTATTAAATTTAATAGTAACTATATAGTTACTACGCATTTATCGCACATTAAAATTAGGTTTCTGTATAATCACAGTTACAGATTAAAAGTTATAACTTAAAAAATTTTATATGCAGGTCTACCTAATAATAGAGGAATTTGAATGTATTAATTTTTAAAACAACGAAGTAGAAATCAATCCATCATGAATGGTAAGTGCGATAATTAATAAAAAAAAAGGCTTACTATTGGGGTGGTTATCGTGAAAGATATCTTTTATTACCAAGAAGAATACCGTCAAACTTAATACAGTGGTATATAAAACAAGCACGCATTAGGTGAAGTATGAGTAATTATTAAAGATACTTAGTATAGTACAACATAAATTATATTGACTGGCGTCTTTATACTTGTCGCCCAAATCCACAAACTCTGGAAAAAACCAACATCACAAAGTTTAGTAATATTTATCTAAACAGATAAGACATATTCTTATATAAAACATAATATTTGCAAAATAGTAAACCATTTTTTGTCATTTAATTTTTAAAAATAACAGATGTTTTTTTTTTGAGATTTGGGGTTTATCCAGATTTGCCAACAAGTATGCTGTCTTTTTAAATTACAAATGCTACCATTATTTGTCATATTTAAAAAAAATAACAAGTTTAATAAATTTTTAAAAGTTTTCTGAATCATAAATTATTACAGAAAAAGAAAAAAAAGTCTATCAACAAAGAGAATTAGAAACCCAAATACCATTCTATATTCCATTACATAAATCTTTAAATATTCTACATTTTTCTATAAAAATTAATTACAGAAACACCAATTTACATATCAACACATAAATTACTAAATTACATACTAATACATTCTCAAAAATTAAAAAAATATAACCAGAACTAACTGAATGCCTGATCCTAATTAGCTCTAAATATAGATGTTAACAAATTCCTAAATGAATTAAACTGTTGTTCACTAGCACCCTTTGGCAATAAAAACGAAACAGTCTTCGTCTCTTGCTCTTTAACAGTCATATGTTTTGGTACTCTGGAATTCTTCATCATGAATCCTTTGGCACATTTTAGTACAATCTCACCTCTTTTAGATAAATCACCTTCTTTTTCTTCAAATAATGGATCAGAAAAGCAATCAATGTTTGAAGGTAGTAAAAGAAATGGTAATGATATATTTGTAATATCGAATCTCTCTACAGTACGTAGAATATTACGAAGGCCATTTATAGCTTCTGTGCATTGTGCTAGATTGGTGTTTTCCATTGCTTATATATTTTTATATCAAGAAAGTGTATAAAATATATAAATGTCTATAAAAGTTAACAGCCTCAAATATAGTTGAAAGAATACTTACATTCAAAGCCAATAACTAAATGAAATATAACCTGAAACATGGGTAAGTTGGAATGTCTTGTAATAAAAAAGTCGCCTGTAATAATAATTTGTTGTCAATACATTATATTTTTTCAAAAATTTTTAAAAATAACATACAGACCTTCTTCTATAGATGAAACTCCTCGGTCATTTGTAAAATCCTTTTCAATAGCTTCAAGTTGTGTTTCGACATCATCAAAATGAAATTCAGTTGATTCTTTACACCTTTCAAAGAATGCTATTTTAATAATGATTAATACAAGATTAATATAAGATCAATTTTTTATAATTTTTAATAACACTTCAATTATCATAATAATCAGAATAAAGTAAACCTTTATTAGCACCCTTCCCAAACTTATATGTTGGCCAATCTTGAGGAGTCAGAAGTAAGACAATTGCCGCCAAGTCTTGTGAATACAAATTTGCAGCAGTTTGAGCTCTATGCGCCATTTCTTTTAGTTGGTCATTTGAGGATTTTAGCAAATCATCCACATCAGCTACCAATAATCTAAGATTATGTGTTGATTTCACTTGATTTCCCAGGGTAATTGTAAAAGATTCACCGAGTTGAGAGTTATCAGAATGCATCATTGGGCCATTGCTACATAATAAACAATTTATTAGCCAAAGGCAACAATTTTTGACAGAAAGAATATTTATAACTAACTAAACATACCCATTAGCATCATCTTTTCTTCCAAGCCATCCGGTGAATCTTTTTGTTGGTGCATTTGGAGTATTCCCGTTTTTTTGTTGAAAAAAAGATATAGGAGACCATGTATTTCTTTTTTCTAGTTTCGTTAAGATAGTTAAAGGACGACGATTTTTCGGACGTCGAAGTGAAAGAGAACCAGATAGTTCTTTGTGATCGGAAGAATTATTACTTGGTGTTGAAGGACGTCGTGGTATTATGGGAATCCCATTGATTCCATTGGCGATTTGAGCATTAATCTTATCCAGATGCTCTATAAGAAGAATGGCCGCGTGTTCCTAATAAAATTATCAACATTAGAACTTCTTTGAAATTATTTCATTAACTATTTTATTACCTTATTTCCACCGGTCATATCAAGAGCTATTCTTGCTTGTTTATCGTCAAAACCCATCTCTGTAAGATCATTTATCATTTGCATCGTTGAAGGATCCTCTTCCTGTTAAAAAATTGTCAAGAAAAATTAAAAAAGTAATATTGTAATATTTCATCAAAAATAAAAAAGTAATATTGTAATATTTCATAAAAATTAAATAATGCATATCCCAAATAAATAAACAAAAACAAACAAATAAATAAATAAACATATACCTTTGCGGGTTTCTTATCATCGCTTGAAGTGGGAAACAATGGAGAGGTGGGAGTCATCAAAGTTGGGGAGAGTATCACATCTGTCAATGAACTAATACTGCCATGTCGACTTCGTGGTCTACTACCTTGATCAAGTTTTAAAATTTCATTTGATAGATGTTTGTAATGCTTTTTCATATCTGTAATAACTTCGGAAACAATTTCTTTTCCATCAATTCTGCACATCCAGTTAGAATCCATAGTTGATTGATGTTCAGTTATCCAACGTTGATGTGCATTATAAAGTTTGATAACAAAATCGCAATATTCTTGTTTTTGAGATTTTTTTAATTCATCGAGTCCGCTTTCCAGGGTGGCTTGGCTATATTCAATGTCCTGGATAAAAATGTATATAAAAATTTATAAATTCTTAATACCAAATCTTATACATACCAAAGTTACAGAGTAAAAATTAAACATACTTCAGTTTGTCTTTCAGACATATAAGAGAAACCGTTTTGACTGGGACCAATACCAACATGCTCCAATTCTTTTTGATGCCTTACATTTATAAAATTAAAAATTAAAACATTAAAATTTCCACATGGGCTATGAAAAATTTAAAATACCTTTCACGCATGCAACCCATTTCTATTTTATGAGAGGTAACCAGATCCTTAACAGCATTATTATAACTTTGTTCCAATTGTAAAAGAGTATCAAAGATTGACGGTACAGGAGAGTGAACAAGAGTGTTATAAGCTTTAGGGAATATGTCCTAAAGATTAATAATGAAATTTGGTAAGAGATAGAAATTGAATGGGATCAAATAAATAAATAAAAAAAGATTACATTACTTCAGCTGGGGCATCGCTATATTGTACAGTATGTTTTTTATATTTTGACACGATTGCATCCCGAACCTTTTCAGCATTCATCTCATCTTCAACTAGTTATCAGAATTAAGATGAATTCAAGATCATTAACAACTTAAATTTATAATATTCAGCTATCGAATTGATATACTTTTAGAAGCCTTTTCCATATCTCTTCTCCAACTTTCTTCGATCAAAGTTTCAACAACCGAAAGAACGGAATTTTCCAAATAACATGGTATATTATTACTATTCATAAAGCACCTGACAGCATCAAGTAACAAACGATCTTTTTTTACATGAATTGTTAGCTTAATTAAAGCATTACTCGGAGGAAGAGCAAAATGGAGGTTAATAGAAAGGTCTTTAAGAATTTTTGTTACTTTCATTTTAAAAAAAATAACGATAATGAAAAGAGTTTAAGTTAAAAAGTATCTGATAAATACTAGTGTCTAAAATTAGTGAAGTATTTATAGATTTATGCAGTGTTCTCGATGTAGTGTGACTCCTAAATAAACCATGTGGCCATGTATAATTGATAACCCTATTTAGATACTTTAGGATAGACGAAATAAAAAAATCCACATTTTTAATATGTAAATTTTGGAAATTGACCGAATTGAAACAAGTTAATAAAGAAATATTGTAACTACAGTTTAATTTTAATTTGTTTTATATTTACGTACTTTGTACAATAGTAGTTATTAGGATGATTATGCATCATGACGATGAACGAAAGAAAGCAGCAGAAAAATGTAACGCGATTGACGGATCTGTACATATTGATTGGCTCATCCAATTGCAAAGGTTCATTCGTTAATTGGTTATGGGCAAGTCTACAAACTAAGATATTGTATCTATGTCGGGCTTATACATCAATTTCTTGTAATTGACTATAGAAATTGATGCAAAAAGTAAAATTTACTCTTATGCTAATGCTTTTCATGTCAGAACTTGGTGCATGTTATATACTGTATATATAGTTTACGTTTCTAATCGGGTTAGATTAATTCGGATTGATCCGAATTCGATTCGAGCTAATCCTAATTGATTGATCAATTTGAATTTAGGAATTCAATCACCATATATACAGTTAAAATACGTATCGGTATACTTTTTTAGCCCAACCCAAATTAGCTATTCGATAAAAATTAGGCCGGATCCAGGGTGGGTTCGGACCTTCTCCAATCCGATCCGCTTGGAACTAGTGTTCCGCAATAAAGATCTGAACGGATCCACTATTTTTAATGGGCATGAAAGTAGCATTTTACAAAGTATACTTGAACTAAAACTGTACATATAATTAATGTCACAGCTGATGCTAAATTTTGAAATCTTAATTTGGATCTATTTACACCTACTGAAACCTACATATACCTTTTTATTATCAATTCTAACCCCAAATTCTAGTCTAACTATTACAAAAAAGCTAAAAAAATACACCTCAAAAATTATAAAATTTTATATCAAAGTAGGCTCAATATTCAGCATAAGCCAGATTCAGCATCAGCTGTTATATGTATAATTTTAGTTT